AGCCAAAGATGTTAGAATTGTGTTGATGTCCCAATATTTCTGGACCTGACTGTATCTTTTGAATAAACCTGGCATGCTAACCCAGGCATCATACTGGAGTTCAGCAAAGAGTTTATAACTCTTACAGCCCTGTGCTATGATATTGCCATTCTCCATGATGGTGATCGGGGTGTGTCTATGTGGAGATCAAGAATTGGCTTTCAGTGCTATTTAATCTGAAGATTTTTTGGATTTGTAGATGAGGCTCAACACTCCTGGCTCAAACAAAGCTCGTGGTCTTTCAACATCAGAATTCTCACTTTAGAAATTAAGCTTTAAGTCTGTGAATGCACAAATACAAGTGTGTATGTATATGATTTGACTTAGCTAGCCAGTATTTATCTGTCAGAACTAACTGCAGTTAAATTTCCCACTTAGTCCCTGGTGTAGTGGGTGGCTGTGGAAAGTAAGTACAGTGAGAAAGAAGAAACTTCACCCTCAGACTTGGAGGTGGTCCCAGAATTAGGAAGGAGCAGGACTATCAAAGATTTAAACCACACGTAGGCTGAGCTCAGAGTTCATTTAACCACATCAAGAAAAGGCTTAGCAACTTTACTTGCATGATATGAAAACTTCAGTCGGTTTTTTGCAGCTTAATATGTTGTGCAAACCCAGCCTGCTTGGTTATTTCAGTTCATTATGTGAATCCAGAAAAATTCTGAATTCAGTGGAATCTGATCAAATGTCTTCTGTGTCACAGTTGTAACATGCTTACATTCCTACACTCCAGCTGGGAACCCAGTTTTTTTCAAATTACATATATTCAGAAAACCATATACCAACTCACAATTCCATTATCTAGGAACAGAAAAGCTTAATTCTTTCAGTACATGATGTGGCATGGATTCACTCTTCTTTTGTACAAGAAATTGCTTTGCATTAGCCATTATTTGGAGAAATTGATCAGCTCTGAGAAATATCCATCCCTGACCCCAAATTACATTTCTAGTGATTTTGCTATTCATTGTGCTTCTATATCCACAAACCAGTTTAATGAGAAGCAGGACATTCATTACACCATCCTGTCATGGAAAGTATGCTGGTATCTCAGTTGTGCAATGAAGGTGGGGGTGACTGGTGTAACAGCTGCTGATGTCAAAAGGGCACAAACATATGATGATGAAACTTAGGAAAGTTTATGCCTTTTAATAAATTTTGTTAGTTGGAAAAGGTGCTACCAGACACAAATGTGTCAAATGCAGTTTTCCCCTGTGCAGTTTCTGCAGAGAAATATCTTCCCCTTTTCATGATATAAACTGTAGACTGCCCCATCACCTATTATATATTAATTCTTTCTCAACTTTGAGAAGATACCTCTTTTGCTGACAGTGTCTTCTTGCATCTTCCTGTTTTCTGTGCTATTCCCAGTTGCTCTAAATAGTCTGCTAGTCTAGAGCTTTATTTCAAAAGATTTTGTCTTTAGCACGATTTTTGATATACTGCCTCCTTAGGATCCATTTGATAACATAACACGTGTGTATGCTTTCTTAGGCTCATCTAATCCAGCATTCTATTTCCAATCCTGGCTAACCAGAAACCTCAAGAAAGTCCGTAAGTAGGACAAAAAAATCAGTTCCCAACATCAGATACACTGCCCTAGAACATGGGGTTCCAATTACTTATAATGCCTATTAGTCATTATAAGCCTCCCTTCTTCACGTATACACTTGTCTTATTTTTAAAAAAGATAGGAAAGTCAGGAGCCATCACTAATGGCTGGATTTGCACTAACAAATTTAACAGATTACTGAAAACATAATGGCTACATTTGCTCAATATGCTAAGTTTGGTTAGTTTTAACTTTGCTAAGGCTTTGTTTGTTTGTAGTTTAACATTTATTTATTCATTTGAGAAATGTATATGGCCCCCCGACTTGAACATTGCAACTCTGGGTGGTGTAGAATAAACCAAGGAACAGATACAAAAATGAAATAAGTAATTCCAGTTAAAATGAGTAAATGACCATTGATGGGTGATCAGGGAATGACATTTACTATGCTCTTGCAGGTGTGAACTCATTCTGGTCCCAATGCCTGAGCAAAACACGCAGTGTGTGTCCTGCCTGTTGGTTAGATTTTGGCACTGTGTATTCTGCTAACCCAGAAATGCATTGTTTGACAATCAGACTAAACGTGTTCTGCACGTGCAGTAATTTACTCTAATAAGAAGTATTAGGATATGAATAGCCTTGCACTGTTAACTGGGGTGGAAAACAAGGAGAGAAGGGCTTAATATTTCCAATAGCAGCTACACACTTGAATGTAATTTATAAAAAAGTCAGCTATATGTAACAAACAAATGTTACATTAGGAGTGTCAGGTGGTTTTTGCTTCGCTTAAGGCCAAGGGCAAAACATAGCCTCAGAGTTGCTCCAGTTGATTTCTGCAGTCTGCTATTAAGGGTATTGGGAAACTGGGTCCAGATCTGATCAGGTGGGCCGATTTGGAAAACATACCTTTTCTGAAAATAAGTACGAGAGAGCGAGGTTACCTTTAAAACATTATTTATTAGTCAGGTTTTATTTATTTTATTTTTTGGAAAGCAGTTACTGTTCTTCTTTATAAAAAGTGTCCCATCCCAGTTACATCAAAGTGATTAAACATGAAGATGTGGAGCAGGTCGGCTGGTCATGTACAGGGGTCCCTGGCCAGCCCGTTCATTGGGAGCTGGACAATGTGATGCCGGCGCCCACGTTAGGTATGCTGGACGCTGTGGCCTGGCCGTGCTAATCCACCCGGGCCTGGCAGCCAGCAGAAGCTGCAGGATTAAAGCTAATCCCATTGGCACTGACAGCTTGGCCTGAGCTGCTCCCCCCCATACGGAGGCAGTGTGTTGGGGGAAGGGAAGAATGGCCTGGCAAGGGGCTCACGGCAAAACTAGGGGCGTCCCCCCACACACACTTAGATCCAAAGAGGAGCCTGCAGAGAGAGACCAGGGAAGAAGCAGGGCCAACTGGCCGGCGGCTCCTGTCCCCCCGCTTGTAGGCGCAGGGCTCAGGAGCGGGTTAAAGTGCTCAGGCCGCCCCCTCTGAAAGCAGCCCTCCTAGGCTGCAGCACCAAAGGGCCCCAGGGAGCTGAAGGCAGGGATGCTCCCCGGGGGATGGTTGTAGCACCAATGAGAGGGAGGGGGGCCGGCCGGGGGTGGCAAGGCACGGGGCTGTGTTGGCAGCGGTGGTGGTGGAATCTCTGCTTTTCTCGGGGGTGGGGGGGTACATTCGAGACCAGGCAGTAGCACCAAAGTTCATGAGGTGAATGGTAGGCCGTTGGTCTGGGCTACTTCCTCTTCCGGCCGACTCCTCCTGCAATCCGAAGAGAGAGACAGAATGACCAAGCAGTCCAGCAGGTGGTTGACGGGTGCCGAGGGGGCTTGCCAACCTGGAACTGGGCCCAGGGATTTCTCACCTGGCTCAGTGGATGCAATATGCTTAACCAGGTCAGTTAGAGACCTAGTTATTTTATTTGGACATATTCCTCTTTCAGGAGAAGAGAATATCTATAGCTCAGGGCTGAACCGAGGCGTTCTTGGTGCTCTCCGAGCGTGGTTGTTGGCTTGAAGACGTTTCATTACCCAACTTGGTAACATCGTCAGTGCCACAGCCAAACAACCAACCAAGCTCAGAGCACCAAGAACTCCACATGGTCAGCTTCAGTAGCATCAACGCTCTTTTTTGTGCATGAGGGTTAAGTTAACTGATGATTCAGTGCAAAATAAGTTGAGCCTGTAAATATGGACTTTAAGTAGCAAAAAACATTAGGCACAAATTGGAAGTTTGGTGTGGGATTTTGGTGCTGGAACCTGTAATAGACAGCTTTTATGACACAGGATAGCACCTGATGGAGTCTGGGCTTGGGAGCTAAGCAGGGTCAAACCATACTGGGATGGAAGGCCATCAAGAAGCCTGAGGGTTTGTAAGCTACGCTGGGAAGTTCATATAACATGGAAGAAGGCAGTGGCACATCCCGTCCCTATTGCTGTTAAGAAAACTGGATGTGACTATGAAGGCCTCAAGAGCTGAGCTGAACTCAAAGGAGACTTTACTGCAAAAAGAACCTCCCTAATAATTATACAGTATAAAAATAAAAGTGGAACTCTGAGGAGAGAAAGCTTGGTGGGGCCCCATTTTCCATCACTGGGGCACGCAGTCCTTTGGTGGTTTGGGGGCTGCACTGTGAGAAAGTCTGAGGGGTCAGGCTCTGGCATGATGATGCTAAATAGCTACAGTCAGGCCACGCAGGTGAACAGCATTGACATTTTCCATTTTTTCCTGTATTTCGGAGACAAGTTTGGAAGTTTTCCATGTCTTTGTTTTAAACAGTTTATTTAACAGTTACACTAAAGCTTCTGTGGCCTAAAAATGGCAAGCAGTTGTGCCACCAGTTTTTGGCAATTGTAGTTGGGGGGAGCACAAAAAGGGGGATGGAAGCTGTTTGTGCTGCTGTGGTTACCTACCCTTGTCATACTCCCTGTGTGACCAAGGACATCAAGACTGTCCTGGTCAGATATACAAGAGCTGATACAGAATAATCTCTGAAAGAAGCCCAAATTTGTCCTTCAGACCAGGTCAAACCCAGTTCTTTGCTTTGCCGTTTCCTCTCTCCTGACTACTGGTCTCATCTCAGGCCCAAAGGATCGCAGTCTGGATCTCGCTGATCCAAGGAAAATGATCCTCCTCCTCCTCCCACCAGCCACTCCTGGGCCTCTACTGAGGAACTCCAACAACTGCCTTCACTAGTCCAGATGAGGATTACTGTTTTGGGAACAGGGTGTAGGCCGGGCTCAGGCGCTTTCCAACTCCCTGGATAGGAGCACCAAATCCATCCTGCTGGGATCAGGCCACCCAATCATCTTCCCTGACATCCTGTTTCTGATCGGAAGATTCTTGGACTGCCCTGTGGAGGGCGTGTTGGGCATTAGTTTCCTCTTTTCAACTCAGATCTAATCCTCGGAGGCAGAGTATCCCTGAGCATGGAGGTTTTGGAAGCAAGACAGAAACAGTAGCTTTCAATCAAGTTATCTTTCCAGGCCGTGGGGCCACTTACTTTTGTAGCCAAGTGCCCCCAGGACTCCATAGGGCTTGGGGGGTTTACCTGTGTAGAGGAGAAAAGGGGGGTCATTCAAGGCTGGTTAACTAGTTAACTTCTTCTGGACTATCCTTTGCCCCTCTCCTCCCCCAAAGTACTGCTCTTACCTCCATAGCCAGGTACGCCTCCACCTGTGATCCCAAATCAGAGAGAAAAAAACCTTGTTAGCATTGTCATAACCCCTCTTAGCCGACCCTCCTTCCCCCTTCCCGCTATGCTAAGAATCCCTCAGAGAAAATGAGCCCCTCTAAAGCATTTCTTTGTGGTTGGGTTCATGCATTGCAATAAGCCTTCATTTGCTTAACCATGATTTAAAAGCAAATGGCTGGTTTGTACAACATGCAAAGCCAAAATCAGAGAAACCACAACATACTCGATTAAAATGAAGCTGAGTAGTTTCTGGCTCTGTGAATTGTGGGAATGCAACCATTTCTGTGGGGTGAACTAGCCATGGGTTTCCAGGGGGGAAGCATGTGATATGAACACAGCAATTGTTTCATTAACTCAGGTTTAAAGTATTGTGAGAACTTGGCCATTACGCTTTGAGTGTTGTGTCAGGCCGCTCTATTTTCTTTATTAACAACTCCTAATGTTTCCCTCTTAGTTCAGTGAGAACTACAAGGATTTTGAAGGGGCATTGCTCTGTTAATAACAAAAATGATTGCTACTGAGATAGCACACCCACTGAGTGAAAACCACCCTTTGCCAGTTGTTGCCCTCAGGACACAGACACGCTACACTGGCCTGTCAAAAACTTTTAGCCTGCAGCCTCTTCCTGCATTTGGGTCTGCAAGACCTGAGCCTTTCCACCCCCAACATACCTGGGTAAATGGGAGATAATCCAAAACCAGGGCCATTTGCTGCAATAGAGGGGAAGAGGTGGAAGAGAGCATGAAAAGACTTTGAAGGGACAAGCAAAAAGAAAGCTTGATTCACAGAGTTAAATGAAGTATGGGGGGATAGAGGCAGCCAATGATTTTGCACGTACGTGAAGAGGATTCTTGTTATTAGAGTACCAAAAGGCAGCATTCATACAATGCACTGAAAACTAGCCAGCCGTGTTTTAGCCTTGTGTGCTGGTCGTATCCTTCCATGCGGTTAGTTTATACTACAGTTGTTTACTGTGATTCCAAAAGCTTGGGTTAATTGAGTAAATCATGGTTAAGCTAAACTGATGATTTTTTTTTAATCTGTTAAGTCGTGTCCGATTCTCAGAGACTGCCTGGACAAGTCCCTGCAGTTTTCTTGGCAGGTTTTTCAGAAGTGGTTTGCCACTGCCTCCTTCCTAGGGCTGAGGGAAAGTGACTGGCCCCAGGTCACCCAGCTGGCTTTGTGCCTAGGCGGGACTAGAACTTTGGTCTCCCAGTTTGCAGCCTGATGTAACCACTACACCAAACTGGCTCTCAAAAAAAAAAAAATCCTATGGATAAGCACATGCAAACCCAGCTTGTATGCCTCCTGACATCTTGGTGGAGGAGTTTTTCAGCCCATTCAGGGGCCCAGCATCATGCAAGTGCACATGTGGACCTGCCCACAGAAGTGAAATGTCAAAGCTTCAGGTCCCACCATCTAGCTTTCTGTAGAACATTGACTCTTGAATTCAGTTCCACTGAATCTATACAGCTCTCTGTCATATCATTTTATATAAACCTGTAGAGGTCCCCCCCCCCCCCCCCCCCCCCCCAGGAAAAAAGAAAAAGGGAAATGCAGGAGTTTGCTTGTTCTTAAGGAAACAGTACACAAGATAATCCACTGTGTTGGAACAAAAGTGTGGGAAGTTGGTAAGAAACTGTAGGGTCTCTGAACATGCTCAATCTTTCCATCACCATTGCTGGGAGTCAGGAGAAGTGTTAAAAGTTGTTCAATTCTAGGGTCCTTTTCTGCTTCTATTCTCTGTGTCTCAGAGAACTCAGAGAAATGGCATTTTTCTCCTTGACTATTGGAATAGCAGCCCGCAGAAACAATAAAAAAGACAGGAGTGCCTCTTTAGAAGGGCAGTAGCATGGTGATCATTCATATAATCAACATAAGTATTTTTCCAAATACCCATGCATAGTGGAGTGATTTATCCAGTTATAATATGGTAGGCCGAGGATAATTAGGAATTAGCTATTCTTGCAAAATCTCACATCTTTTGTCAACTTTGAACATGAACAAATTCTCCCGTGAGAAGAAAGTCCTTTATGAGGTTCTTTCATTTTCCATTCTTTGGAGATTGGGAGGCACTTGAGCTCTGAGCCCCCTTCCCCTTCTGCCTTCCATGCTCCCTCCCCTGTTGCTAGAAATCCTATTTTCTTATTATCTGGTTTGGGAGGTTTACCACCAACCCCTGGATACTGTAATCCTGTGCAACAGAATGAGAGAAAAGTGAGTTGTGCCTTATTTCCACTCGGTTAGACTACCATAAGGTGCTCCACTTGGGGCTCTTCTTAAAGAGTGTTCAGAAACTGGTACAAAATGCAGCCGCCCAAATTCTTTTAGGCTTCCAGCTTTGGGAGCACATTATACCAGTTTTGCTAACCCTGCATTGGTTGCCAGTTGGTTTTCAGGTCCAATTTAAGTGCTGAGCTATAAAGCCCTTTATGGCTTGGTGCCTGGGTACCTCCAACTCCCATCAGAATTGGCCCATCCAATTAGATCTGCCAGGGAGAAATTGCCGTAAATCTCACTCTTTCAGGAGATTCAGTGTGTGTGTGTGTGGGGGGGGGGGGAAGATGGTGCTGCTTCTCTGTGGCAGCCCTGACCTGGTGGATTGGCTCTCTCTTTATTGTCTTTTGGAAGTTTTTAAAAACTAAATTGTTTCAGAAAGCTTTCCCTTGATTTGAATGTTGCCATCTTTATTTCTATTTATGCTATTTATAGTTTATGTTGTATGGTATTTCATTTTATTGTGTTTATAGTTGTTTTATTCCTACCCTGGAAGTTTTCGTCTGTATGTGTTCTGTGTAAGCCTATGAGTGTCTCTTTGGATTGCAGTGGCATAGAAATACATTAAATAAGTATAGATATTGTCACCTGAGGCTCAAGACAGAGGTGAGAACTACCTATGAGTGTAATAAGGCTGAAAGGTGATACAGGAGGAAGACATTTCTCCTTCGTTTGCTTAGTAGGATTGTTCTAAATAATTTAGCTGGTTGTAAACTGATTCTGTCAGCACTAGCCAGATTTGACTGGTCTTGGAGGCTGGTTAGTCCTGGTTAGTATATGGATGGGAATCACTTGTAAATACAGTATCAGGGTTGTTCACTTGACTGGAAAATTTAAAAAAAAAAATCCCAACAGAAGGCAGTGGCAAAACCATTTTACTACACTGCTGAGAAAACTGCATGGATATAATCATGAAGAACTGAACTTTTTTAAAACTTTGAATTGGTTGTAGAAGTGTGTTCGGATTAAGCAATTTTTAAGGGAAAAAAAATAATAGCCCATCCTGATCACTCAGATTTCCTTCCTATATCCTGAATTAATATTCTTCCATTTTGCATTACAAGCCACAAAGTTCAAGATTAGTCGGGGATAAGTCTGAGCTTATGATGACCGTAAAATTTATAATAGTATTTAAAATCTAGGGTGTTTCCACAAGTCCCTACTTACTTTAAAAGAAAACGGTGGACAAAGTTTAACAGGTACATTCTCATATTCCATTTTTGAAAAGATTGGACTGAGTTTCAGGATGATACAGATTTGGGTATAACTCCCACACTGATTTGTCCTCCCCCCTGCATCCCACTGGAAGCATCTTTGCCCACCAGGTATCAGACCTCCAACTCCAGCACCACCTCCAAGACCGGCTCCTCCCAGTCCAGGGACACCATATCCTCCTCCAATGCCTGTTTTAAAAAAATCTCCATCAGAAACAAACCACAAAGCTAGTTGAAATGAAATATGGAACATTTGATTTTTGTGCTGATTAGATACTTCTAAGCACATTTGAATTCACCACGAAGGATCTTCAAGGGAATCCATGTTATCTTTCTGTGCAAAAAGGGATAGCGGATTTAAACCGCATTCAGAATTGCAAAATGCTCAGTTTAAATCTTGTTGAATTAATCCAGAACTGAACATAATTTGTTTAGCATTTACTGTATATGATCTGAAGAAGCCTACTAGAGGACACAGTACTAAAAGGGAGAAATTTTGCTGACCCTTCAGATGATTTGGATTAAAATCCCCATGTAGCCCACCCAGTAGAGCCAAAGGCAAGGACTTGTGGACACTGTAGTCCAAAATATCAAAGGGCTCTGGGTTAGGCCTTATGGGGTCAATATAACACTGTAAGCTAATGGGTGTGAAATTAACATTATCAAAGCCCTGTAGAAATCCTGAATGTGCTTAACCCAATTGCTGCTAGCTTTGCACACAGAAAATCCTAAAACCTAGTCTGCAGCATAAGAAAGACTAAGAGGAGCCTCTTTTGGCATTGGCCAGTCCTAATTTAGATAATAGAATACTGGGCCAGCTGATCTAAGAGGAGCTATGGGAAGCCTTGGTGATCCATCCTAGGTGGTCTGAGAAGAGCTACATGCCAGTCTAAGAAAGAAGAGGCAACTTAGTGGTACAAAACAGAAATGCTGAAAACCACAATGAGAGATGATGAAGGCAATGCCAGGAAAGTGATCAAAATTCAAAGTGGCCATCTAAGAACAGAAGCAGGACATTTGGCATTGCCCTTAGTCTGGGAATCTATTCTTCCAAACTAAGGAGCAGGCTTCAAGGACAGAGTTTGATATGGCCTGGTGAACAACATTGGGTCTTGCAGGTCAGATGGCTCAAAGTTCAGCTGGGCTTAGAGAGCATTCTTCAAGTTTGCGGCAACAGAACCTGCCAGTTACATGCCAGAATCTGACTGCTAGGAGCAATCATTCATCATACCCTGGCCAAACACCTTTGTGTTGTATTCTTTAGTCATGTTAAGACAACTTCTCACATTCTGGAGTATGGGAAAAGGAACAAGGCCAGGAAGAATCCAGACCCACCTCCTGTAGCTAAAGACTGAGCCGTAATACCTATGTCAACCCTAGCAGTTCCCTACCCTGGACAACCATCTTACCTGCCACGCCAGTTCCACCCAGTCCAGTTCCTGGGACACCTGTCAAAGACAGGGAGCAAATCTCAATGGTGAATCCATGGCAAGTCTTTTCTCTCCTGCAGGCTGGAGGCTTCCCAGAGGAATTGCAGCTGCATCCACTTTTCCATTTTTTCACTCAAGGAGGTGTCTTGTCCTAGAGCTCACTTTCTCTAATGGTTGTTCTGGGCCCATCCAAGAACTTGCAGAGCAACCGTTAGGGAAGGCGAGGCCTTTGGCCTTGTGGGTCATGGGAGTTGCAGTCCAGCACATTTGGAGGCCTCTAGGTTGGGGAAGACTTTAATGTGCAAGAAGAAAGAGCTATGCAAGAACAGAATGGGTCCCTGGCGTGGCTTCCATTTGTTTCAACAGGGTCTGAGTAGGAGACCTTCCTGCTAGAATGTGCCCAGGGGAATACATTGGTGGATAAGATGTGCCATTTTGGCCAGCCCTGTGCAGTTAATTTATGCAGAAATTGCATAAGTCATAAGTGAGTTTATTCTGATCCAGTCCTGAGAAACAGCGAAAATTCATTTACTCTGCATCATCCCCACACACATTGTGCTCCTCAGCCTTCTCAAAAAAGTTAAATGTGCCACTCACTCCCAAAAGGTTGTTTCTCCCGTTCTGACTGAGCTGAATTTTTTTTCTTTTACACTCTCTCTCTCTCTCACTCTTTCCCTCTTCCTTTCATAGACACATTGGTCTATACCTACTTTGAGGAGCTAACATGTTGAATTACAAGCAGTTTTTTTCATTCTGCAGAGATACCGTATTTAGGTGGTTTGACTCCTGCTTGTCCTCCAATTAGGGGAATGCCTGTAAGATAAGACGAAATAATTCCCATCAGAACCCTTTGCTGGAGATAATTTTTGCCTCTAAAAATGGGAAATTGTGATCTGGCCTGATTCTCTAGGAAATTACTCCTGTCTCAGGAGAATCTGAGGATTACTCAGTGAAGCACAGACCTGCACCAGGAACTCTGCCCCCGGGCACAACGCCGCCTCCAGGAAGGACACCACCTCCAGGCACAACACCGCCTCCAGGAAGGACACCACCTCCAGGAAGGACACCACCTCCAGGCAAAACGCCGCCTCCAGGAAGGACACCACCTCCAGGAAGGACACCACCTCCAGGCACAATGCCACCTCCAGGAAGGACACCACCTCCAGGAAGGACACCTGTTCCACCACCTACAGTAAGTTTGAATTTTTTTTAATTGAGGTGCAGAGAATGTTAAATAAGGGGAAAAGAAAAAAAAATCAAATGTTTCCCATTTTGTGTCCTCATGTCCACTGTTAGGTTTAGATGAGTTCTCGTGGGTGTTCCACTCCTGTTGAATTCCAGTTTAGTAAGGAGAATCTTTAAAAAATCCTAAAATTTCAGCATATCTCCTTTGCTCTTGTTTTTAGTTCCTTTCTGCCTTACCCCTCTGTGTAACCGATTCATACATGAACACTGATATTGTGTAAAGAAACCGCATTTCTCATGCAAGCATATTTCTGAAACCTCTCTTTGTGTTGCCTCATCTGCAGAAGCTCATTCTGACCTGGACATAGGCATATAGGCTGTCACTTGACGCTGTATCATCAGTGGGCTTGATGCTTGGGCAAGCTAGATTTCCCCATCCCTACCCCCCGCCAATGAAATGGTGTCCAGTGAGAGCATGCAACTTTTCCGAGTGGTGTGAGAGAGCTACCCCCACCCCCAAGATAGGCCAGAGCGAGACATACAAAGGAAATGGCTCCAGACAAAAACTAAATTTAATTTACATTTAATTTCAATAAGGTAAAGTAAGTTAATTACAATCACAATTAATAATGTTCCCTACCAGTCACTTCCCTAGCAGTAATAATTCAGTGGCAAATTTGGGGTGGCTCTGGGAACCCCATTCAAAGCTTTCAGAAGCCACATGCAGCCATATAGCCTTAAGGTGTGCACCATCCCTTTATAGGATATCGAAATGAATTCCTAATTTCTGCCCCTGCCCAACTCAGAAATGGCACTATGGAATAAGGGAACCCATAACTGATCTTGGCAATTTGAGGTTTGTCCTGAAAAGGTGCAGAGCCTTTTGTTAAACGGGCTACCAAGAGAGAAAATTTTATTTCCCAAGAAAAAGCTAGCTTAGGCAGGGATGGAGGTAGGTCAGACTCACCATATTTAGCTGCTTTGGCTGCTGCTTTGGCTGCTGCTGCTGCTGCTGCTGCAGACCCAGGTACTAGGAGAAGGAAGGGCAGAAAAATTAAGCAGTCAGAATGGGAGCAAAGTTCAGATCTCTAATATCTCATGAAAGAGATAAAAGCAGGCTTCGTTTGCAGCCCAGCTACCCCTAAAAAGGAACTGCAGGGCTGAGGAGATGGGTGGGCAGGTTATTCCTCTGCCACATTGTTTTCCCAGTTTGACCAGAAGTGATTAATAGATTTTTCTGGCTCTGTTTCCCTTCCCATCCAGCATCATCCAGTGACAGGAGAAAAAAAACAAAACACCCTACTACCAATTGCTTTCCTTATAATTTGACAGGGTGAGCCTCAGTAAATAGGAGCTTTTGCCATTTTTCAAGTTGCCAAAGTGACAAGTTGCCAGTGCAGAGATGCCCTATGCCAGTAACCTGTCATTCTGGCTATTTCTGGTCTACAAGTGTTCTGGAAGACTGCTAGATCTGTGTGCAAAAGTAGCCCATCTAAGAGGTGGTGGGACATCCTTGGATGCAGGACAGAGTGCAAGAGAGCTTATGCAATGCATTGAGAGAGGCCCCTCCTGCTTCATCCTGACCCATCCTCCATTCTACTGACCTGCCAGCTGGGCTGTTTTTGGCAGAGGTCTACCTGTCTTCAGAAGAGGTGTAGATTGAAAGGTTTGTGTGTCTTCCTGTCATTTGGGTACAAAAGGAAAACAAAACAAAACAAAAAAAACCCCATGGCTGCCTTGTTAATTTCACTCCAGCTCCCAAATGTCCCAACTTGATAAGTGGTATAAGACACCAGCAGAAGAAGATGAACAAGGTTTTAAAATTGGAGGAAGAAACATCAGTAGCCCTGCTGATGACACCATTCTGATAGCCAGAAAAGGATCTGCAAGCCCTAGTAATCAGCGTCAATCAGTGCAGTAAAAAAATGGGACTAAGATTAAATATAAAGATCAAACTAATGACAACAGGTAGAACAACCAGCCTTAGAATGGACAATGAAGATATCAAAGTAGTGGATAGCTTCTGCCTTTTTAGGATCAACCATCAACAGTAAAGTAACAAGCACTCAAAAAATACACGGCAGATTAGCACTTGGTAGAGCAGACATGAAGGCCTTGGAAAAGATATTTAGATGCCATGATGTGTCTATACCTATAAAGATCATGCAAGAAATGGTATTCCCTGTGACGTTCTATGGAAATTAAAGTGGGACTTTGAAGAAGGATTGAAAGGGCATTGACTTTTTTGAACTTTGATGATGGAGAAGACTCCTGAGAATACAGTGGGCAGCCAAGAACATAAACAAATGGATCATCAAACAAATCAACCAAGAGTTCTCACTTGAGGCACAAATGACCAGGCTCAAATATCCTACTTTGGATACATTATGGAAAGAACTAGCTCCCTGGAGAAGGCTCTGATTCCAGGAAAGCTGGAAGGAAAGAGAAGAACCAGCAGCCAGGTGGATGTACTCATTTACAGTAGTGATGGGTGAACCATTGGGAGACCTGAAGGACCAGGTTAGGGACAGACTGTCTTGGAGAAAATCTATCTGCGTGGTCATTAAGAGTCAACACTGACTTGATGGCACATAATCAATCAGTCAAATCTGGCAGGGAATAGCTGCAGAAGGCAGCTTCTGAAAGCATCACATGGAGCATTCACAATGGCTTTAGGGTAAGCTAGTGTTGTCCAAACTTGGCCACTTTAAGATGAGTGGACTTCAACTCCCAGAATTCCCCATGCTGGGTGGGGAA